TAATTATTAAATAAAATTTTAAAATATAATTTAACTATGATAATTATTAAATAAAATTTTAAAATATAATTTATATTATTTTTTAATATAAATATTTTAGCATATTAAGATACGGGAAGGAAACGAGTTGAAAATAGATGGAATGCACGGGCGTGCCGAGAAGCAGCAGGTCTATGTTATGTGGGCGAGGTTTGATGGAGAACTCCATGGATAACCCAGCTAACCTCCTGCCATTCGGCATGGCTGGGCCTTCCTCAACCTACCCATCTCGCTTGGAAGAAGATGGGTTGGATTATGACATGCAACGCCTTGCAAAATTATTATATATGCGATTGCCTTTAACTGATACGGTCCGATGAAATGCAGATGGGGGTTAAAAAAAAAAAGAAAAAAAAATGCAGAACAAAATCATTGAAGAAAAAACTCTAAAAAAATATATAGATATTTGAATGGGATCTTGAGACTGTTAATTTTCAATATTAGCATTATTTTTTATTATCAAATAAAAAAAGTTTTATAAAACAATTATTTAAATTTCAGACCAGCAGATCATTAAAGTTTTTTAGCTTCTGGTTAATTAAATTATATGTCCATTATCATTTTATTTAGAAATTTATTTTGTATTGTTATGTTTTTAAAATACTTATTTTTTTAGCTATTTTTATTTAAAAATAGTTTATAGTTAATACCTTCTTCAATTTGAAAACAAAGTAAAGAAAAGCAGCTGTAACTTAAAAATAAAACTGTTTTTATTTTGAAACAAGAGAGGATATTCTTAAATTTTAATTAAAAATAAAATTACTTGTGTGTGTGTGTGAATTTTGTTTTCTAATTAAAATAACAAATTACTTGATTAAATATTTTAGCAAATCCACTCCTTGCCAAGAAGTGTTGTCTCACCTATTGTCTTATTTGTCAGCTACGCATTGAAAAACTATATTTTTAAACAATATACTCGTACTCTCCTATGAAAATCAGTGTGTAAAATTTATGAAAACACTCAGGTGAGTCTGAAATTGTGATTCTACTGTATTTTTTTTTTAAAAAAAAATGTTTTTTTATTATATTAGTATGTTAATGTGAAAAATAAATTTTAAAACACTAGAAAAAAAATGATATTTTTATATATTTTTAAATAAAATAACTTTAAAAAACAATGTCTATTTAATCTCAAACACTTCCTAATGAAGCTTTAGAAATTCAATTGCCAATTTTACAATGGTTCTTCTTTGATTCCAAGCTCGCAGCCGCGTCTTCAAAGCTTGGAATGGACGGTACACGTGTAATAAAATATTAAGTATTACTTTAAGATGTGGAATTTTTACTGTGCAAGGCTTTGTTTTTTTATATATTATTTTCGATAGGTTACACGGATTTTTATATTTTTTAATTTAGTTTTTTAAAAAAATTAGTGATTTAATCTTAATTAAAAATAGATTGATTTTGATTTTTTATAAAATAATAATATTAAAAAAAACTGAAATGAAAAAAATATTAAATATAGATGGCATGTCATAAAATTCATATTTAGTTTATCTATGTTTTATTGGGCTATCATAAACTCATGATCCAGATCATGAGTTTTATTAGTTTTTCAGCTTTATTTGGGTTTTTTCATGTATTTTTTAATTGAATATATATTTTTTTAATTTTATTATTTAAGAGAAAAAAATTAATTAGCATCCAAAATAACAATGGAAGGTTAGGTTTGACAATAGAGTAATGTTGAATGCAATGTCTAAATGACGCAAACACCACCAACTAGTTAGGATGAGCCTAGCATGAACCAATAATTTTAATTAAAATTAAAAAAATCAATGTAAAAATATCAAAATACCTTTTACGACATTAATAATTACCCAAAAAACCTATGTGAAAGTTAAAAAAAAAAAAAACCTTTAAATGTCATATAAACCAAGTTTGATATGTTAATTAGGGTTTACTTGGCTCATTTTTTTATTGAATTTTATTTTTAATTTTATTATTTAATATTTCATTAATAAATAATTAAATTTAATATTTTTTTATTTATTCTTTATAAAATTATTAAAATCTCGTAACATAAATTAAAGATATGGTAAGTTGTCCTCAATAAAGTCAAGTAGAAAAAAATAAATCTAAAAAAACTCAATATATTATTAATAATAACTAAATATTTTTTTATATTCAATAAAAATTTTATTCAGCCCGTATCTTCCAGATTATCGTATCAAATAAGGTGAAATTGCAGAGGTGAATTGATTCAAATACTTGATATTTTTAAGAAAAAACAAGAAGAAAATTGATATCTGACGAGACAGAGTGCCTTATCCACATCGGCCCGTAAAATCATTACAGACGTGGCAGTACCTGGGTATATTGGGGCGCCTGCAATGTGCTTCCGCTAATTAGCGAATAATGTCGTCACCTCGCAGGAATACGGTTCCGGTTGCAGGCCCTTTTGTTTTATCCATTTGGCTAAATATCATAAATACCCCTATACGAACTCCTATATTACAGTGCTATACTCTGGCGGGGTAAGTGGATTACTTGTTGGTTCTGCAAGATTGGTGAAGGATGTTTCCGTTCAATTTTGACAAGTAGTGCACCAAAATAAAATTATATTTTCAAAGGCAGGATATCAAGTGAGAATGGCCTAACTTTGACAAATTTGTCGCATGGGACACTGTTCTTCTTCATATCCTGTGATCATGGCCTAGTTAGGTGAGAGCATTTGGTGTGTTCACGCATCATATTTGTCTATGAACAGAGGATTAGCGAATGATTTGTGGTGGAGTGAAGAGTTAAACATTTTGCTTCCCAGTTAATACATTATCATTTCTATAAAGCTTTTGACTTTTATATTGCTGCCCATCAAATACATCTTTATTAAACTTGATTTAAATAGGTTGGGTTGATCTTGTCAACTCTCTCCATCTCAAAATTAATAAAAACATTTCGAGTTTCTTTTAAGTAGAAATGAAATTGTTTTGGATAAAAAAAATAAAAAAGTTAAATCATCTTGTTTTAGATAATTTTTTTAAAAAAATAAAGTTAATTTAATAAGATCTCATTAGAGTTTTACTAAGTCAGCCAAATTATAAATTAAAAGTTTGACAATATAATGAAATATTTTAACGTGGAAACTAAGTATAAACACAAAATTTGTCGTTGCATCGTTTTTTACATGTAAAAAAACGATGAATCGAGCCAAATGTTTGATTGATAAATGGAAGCTACTCCTCCTCCCCTCTTAGAGCTGCAAAGCTCCTATTAACATACTGCCGCCGAGTTTGACATTACGTAAATAATGCTTTTCCATTTTTGTAATTATGATGAAGTTGTCGAACAATGAGTTAAAAGGTCAATAAATCGAGTAAACAATGCATTTACTGTGAGGCCATAATTAATGAATACAGCATGCTAAAGAGGACATGCATGCATGCATGCAGTCCTTAAAGCAAAATCATCCTAAATAAATCGAGTAAACAATGCATGTACTGTGAGGCCATAATTAATGAATACAGCATGCTAAAGAGGACATGCATGCATGCATGCAGTCCTTAAAGCAAAATCATCCTAAATAAATCGAGTAAACAATGCATGTACTGTGAGGCCATAATTAATGAATACAGCATGCTAAAGAGGACATGCATGCATGCATGCAGTCCTTAAAGCAAAATCATCCTAAATAAATCGAGTAAACAATGCATGTACTGTGAGGCCATAATTAATGAATACATTCCGCATTTTTTAAATAATTTTTTATGTTAAAATATATATTAATAATATTTTGTTATTTAAAAAAAATTATTTTTAATACCAATACATTAAAATAATTAAAATATATTAATTTATGTTTAATTAATTTAAAATAAATAAAAAATAAAAATAAATTTAATGTTTTTAAAATATTCTTAAAATAGAAATAAATATGATGGGAGACATGCATGAAGTCTTTGAAATATCTACTATTTATTCAATTCTATATAAATTTATTTTTTATATTATAATATTGGAATCGGATTTAAATGAAAACTATAGAAGAAAGATCTTACAAGTCTCAGCATGAATTTTGTGTTAAAAAACGAACTAATATTACTATAAAATAATTTAACTAGTATTGCTATAAAAACAAATTAGTTTTTAATTTTTTTAATATCAAATAAATATTTTTTTCAAGAATTAATTATTATCTGCTAGAATCAAAATCATAACATGAAAACATAAAGGCTGTTTCAATCATGATTTGATTACTATTCCTTCTATATTTTTCCGATGATCAGATTCAAGTGAAGATTGTAAGTTTTGGCATGAATTTCATGCTAAAAGACGAATTAATACTGCTATAAAACAATTTAACTATTACTGATGTAAAAACAAAATATTTTTAACCTTTTTTAAAATTAGATAAAATTTTTTTTTTCAAGAATTGTTATATGCTACAATCAAAACCATAACATATAAACATAAAGGGTGTTTTAATCATGATTTGATTACTATTCCTTTTATATTTTTCTGATTATAGTTTATCATATCAGAATATCAATTTTCTCGGTATCTTTTCTGGAAATATTTTCTTTCACGTGTAAATTACAAAATCATAGTAATTATCTAAAATTCTAAACTATTAAAAACATCGATCGCTTTTATGACAAAACTAGAAAACCTTTCCGTTATATAAAAATCCCGTTTAATTACCATTAAAAAAACAAATTCAAAACTTAAATATCAAACAAATTAATTAAAAAACTCAAAATAAAATCCAACGATGAAGTGACCATTATTCATCCAAGAAGAGAAGAAGAAATTAATCATGATCATTTTTTAAACACCTGGATGTTGACTTTAATTATATCACATGACATGGTTACACGTGTGCCATTTCACAGACTAACAAGGCTAGAACCGTCATTTGAAAAACGTCATCGATAAGAAATGCCCAGCTCACATTCTCCCTACAGTTATATATTATCGATCGGTGCTGTAGCATCTTTCTACCGATGTCGTACTGCTAAACCAAAAAAATAGAATCTCTTATCTGCACTCACACCTCTATCTCCATTTCCCTTATTATCCGATCCTCCTTGTCGGTTCTCCCATCTGTATATGCTCTCAATTCCTTACTCTACAAGCTTTCTTCAACAACCACTCCACCTTTATCCTTGATTTTTTTATTTTTTAACTTGATTTGATCGTTTCTCTTTAACCCTTTCTCGATTGCCGAGAAGACAGTAAATACAAGATCGAGAAACTGAAGGTCTTACTGGTTACGTTTTACCAGCTGTGATCGGTGATTTTCAGGTGTGGTGGATTTTTTAATCTTCGTTTCCTTTGATTCTTGTACAGTAAACACGGATCGTTTGATTTGCAGAAAAGATGATCGTAATTTATTTTTTGTCTGAAAGCAAGGAGGAAACTTGAGTTTTTGTGTTTTGTTTCTAATTCTGGAAAAGACACGATTTACAGTATATTATTCTCTTGATCATAAATTACAAAATAAATAAATAAATCTTCAATTACACCTCAATTTCGCTTTTTAATTACGGTTTTAACCTCTGTTATTTATTCCTGTTTCAGCTAAAAAAAAATTTCCCCTTAGAGAGGAGAGATGGTGTCGCTGCAAGGACCGGTAATATGCCCTACTACTGTGCGTGCAAAACAAGCAGGAAAACACGCTTTCCCGATGACTGGTCCCTTGGTGAAGGCAAGGCTGGTTAGAAGTGAATTGTGGGGATTCAAGGGTTACAAAACTAAGGTGGGTCTTACTTCTCGGCAACTTAAGGCGCGAAGATGCAATACTGTGCAGTGTAGTTTGAGCTCATCGTCAGATGGTAATGGGAGTACAGCCGAGAATTTCAATGAAAATGATGAAGATTATGTCAACTCCAGTGTCGTTGAAGCTGGTAGGGTTTGTCTTCAAATTACATTAGAGTATCTTGTCTTAGTGATTGTAGGCTGCCAGCATTAATCATTGAAGTTTTTTTGTGCAATGTGGTTTGTGATGTATTTAAATTGTTGATTTGAATTGGGTTTTTCATGTAGTTGAGGTGAAGAGTGGATCGGATGGTTTTGTGATCAAAATGAGGGATGGAAGGCACTTAAGGTGTGTCCACAACAACCCTCAAGGTGGGCATCTGCCGGATTATGCTCCCCATCCTGCGATTGTATTGAAGATGGAAGATGGGACTGGTCTTCTTCTTCCAATAATTGTTTGTATGTTCGCTGTTATACTCAGTAGTTTCTAATACATTCTTTGCAATACTTTAGAGACCAGTGCTTACTTTGTCATTTTGGAGTGATGATGTGCATTTGATTGCTTTCAGTGGAGATGCCAAGTGTGTTGCTCATGGCAGCAGTGCGCAATGTCCAAATTGTATGTATTTAGTTTCCTTATTAATTTTATAGGATTTTTATTTCGGAATAATAGAGTTGTCAAATTTGGACTTTGGCAACTGCTTGGATTTGTTTTATATATAGCTATGCTGAGGAATTTTGGCTGTCGGTTTCCAGGCAAGACCAACTATGTATCAAGTGGTGAAGGACATGGTTGAAAAGATGGGTTTTGAGGTAAGTTGGTGTTTCTTCTTCTCTTCTCTTTTCTTTTCATAGACAAAGAAAATTAAAAAATAGAGAGAGAGAGAGGCCAGGTTCAAGCACGTGGAGGTGCATAAACAAGCCTAATGCCATATGGCAGATTATAGCCTACACCATAGAAAATCTACGAAGGAGATGCGAAGTATACTTTCCTTATTTTCTACCATTGTAAGGGAAATACTACTAATTTACACCGATGTTTCGATTATGATACTCTTTTGCAGGTCAAACTTGTTAGAGTTACGAAGAGAGTGCATGAAGCATACTTTGCCCAGTTGTATCTCTCTAAGGTATACCCTTATTTTTTTCATTTGAATTAGTCCATGGTGCATTTGACTTGAATAACTACAAGTAGAAATAGTTCACACTCTTTGATGTTGTCACAGATTGGTAATGAAACTGAATGTGTCAGCTTTGATCTTCGTCCATCAGATGCCATCAATATTGCTGTTAGATGCAAGGTACTCTGTGTATTTCATTCATTTTGTTGGTTGCGCCAATATTCTCAATGCCAAAGCTTGCTTGACTGAGTGAAGGTGCTAGTTTTCTTGAAATTTCCTGTCGAGAAAAGGCCAAAAAATGTTGATATAAGTGGGCTTTCTCATCTGGTGTAAGTGAATGTGAAATGCCTACTGCAATGCATACATCTTTATTCTGGAATGCCGAGTCAAATGGATTTTCATGTTCTATATGTGGTGCTTGTTAGGCTAACTCCTAATGTAATATGTAATGCCTAGTATCCTGGCAAAGTACATCAAATCATGATGCCGTCTTGACTTTGACACCCGCCTGCTAGTTGGTACTTTTGATCATTAAAAATGTACCCTGTTTCTCTGTCTCTCCTGCATCATTTTTATCTTTCTTTGTGGTGGGAAGAGAGAGCAACTTTCTGATAATTGTTTATCTATCTGGAATTAAAAGAAAGTATGATTCAAGATTGTCAGTAGATTGACTTAAGCAGTAAAACTGAAATAAAAAATGTTTTGATATTGAACCTCTTACAAACTTATTAGTGGCTTGCTGATCAGTAGAAGTGCATCTTTCCTTAATCTGTGTAGGTGCCTATTCAAGTTAATAAGTACCTGGCGTACAGTGATGGAATGAGAGTCATTGAATCTGGAAAGCCAATTCAGTCTCCTGCTTCAGATGGCTTATTATTCACTGAACTTGATAGGTAAATGTGGAAATCTTTAGATATTTTCTTTCCTTCATTTGTTTATCCTTTAGCATTGAAAATAAAAGTTGCTGGATTTCTCTGGCAAGAAGATTGTCACCCAATAGCAGGTGTGCGTCAGTTCGGATACTATTTAGCAAATATTTTGTAATTCATGTTCAGGGATGAAGGCCTTCCCTAGATTCAAAAATATGCCTGCTGTCTGTGATTCTAAAGTTAACTATTAATAATTTGAAAAACAAGAATTCGAGTTTATCTTAATTATGCCTCAGTTTTGGGAAAGAGGAGTTAATTTGAATTGATATGGTTCAGGCCCACTGGACAACCTTGTCTTGATACCAAGGAGTTTAATCTTGTGCGCAACATGTTTACAGCTGCGTTCGAGGAACGTTATGGAGATGCTGGTGTGTTTCACTCTTTTTTGCCTTCATGTTTAATGTGCTGTCTTTTTCAGCAGCTTCCTTTGTGCCTATTTAGCCAATATCCATCATCAATTTGAAAGAAACCAGATTGGTTTTTGCTCATAATCACTGCGCTGACCAGTCTATATGAACTTCTTGTGATTAAACACAAAGTCAATGTAATAAGCTGCTTTAAATTTTAAAACCCCCTGCTGTTTATCATTTTGGGTGGTCTGGTTCAAAATTTTCAATGCTGTAATATCTTCACGTCTTTATAATTTTCATGATCTGCTACAGCTCAATGGAGAGACAAACTTGGTCAATTTCGGGCAAAGAGGAACTTGAAGAAATATACATGACAGGTGCAAATCCCATCAGTGATTCAATGAAAAGAAAGTTGTTGATTTGATTCAATCAACAAGGGTTTGCTAACGCATTATCTGTTCTTGGCTGTTTCAGTTCACTGCTTAAACTTGTATATATAAACCATTGTTGGAAGGTGATGAGGATGGTGGGATTATGTGATTATGTGGCGGCATTCCACTCTATCATTATGTATGTATGTGAATATATGTATAGATAAACTTCGCTAATGAAATGTTGGAAGCAATTGACGATAGTTGATTTCCGCATATTATTCTTGAATGGAAGGCAATTCCCTCTTGCTATCTAGTCACGCAAGGGATTGGCTTTGCATCAAAGCTTTTTGCTGCTTTATCCTCTCTAGCTTTACAAAGGTATGTCTGGAAGAGTATCAAATAACTTGCTCTCTTTGTTTGTTTTCATATTCGTCGGCTCTAGACGTTCACGTCAGATACCAGTCTAATACCAGCCTATCAGGTTCTGCGTGGTAAGTGAGGGCATTTCCAGCTTGGTCCCCCCCCACAAGCAAAGAACCAGTCCACGAAGAATGGCCCTAGTTAAATCTCTTTCCCCTTCCTAGTTATGGAGTTCTTTGCCTTTTCACTGCAAGGGATTCTCGAATGGAAAGCCGAAAAACCTAAAGTGGCCCGAACCTGCTTCGACCTTACTTTCTTTATTCGAACCTTCTTTGAGTGCACTTGGAATGACGCTTAATTATCTTCGGACCATGGCCATGCTCGAAAAACGCCGCATGACATGATGTGAGATTTTTAACTGTGAACCCTGCAAGGTGCTGCTTTTAGTGTGTTGTTCTGCTCACTTCCGCCCAAGCGAGAAGTTCAATCTTCTCAAAGGAATTCTCGGAGTAAACCGGATGACAGATGTCATCATCATGTGCACGTAAGGATTCTAAGCATGTATCGTCACTTCAACTCTGTTCAGTTGCTACAAGTCAAACTCGGTGAATGTTGACGATATCAGCTCTTGAAGGGCATGTATCGTCCCTCAAAACTGGGTCCCGGTAAAGAAAGCCAACCGAGCAAACAGGTTCTTAGCTATTTGAATAAGTGAGAGACACGTTTGCTATTAATTAAGATTCTCGTGGTGCCCGGAATACTTGGAATGACGAAAAGTGTGGATTACAAAAACAGCAATGGACCAGTTGTCTCTCTTCTTTCCAACCAAGCCTAGTTTCGTATCGATTAAAGAGTCTGGAGTGATGGCTTCGAGGCTGCAATTCGAATTTACTAAGAGCCTGTTTGGCTACGTGAGTGTAGCTGTATTTTAATTAAAATATAATTTATAGTTATTTGATAAAAAAAATATACACTTTATATAATATACGAGGCTTATATATTTAACATTTGATACACTAGAAAAGAAAAATCAGCAAAATTGCTGCTCTTTTTTTACTATACATGCTATTTACATTGTCTATTTAATAGTATAATTAGCATAAATAATATATATTGAATACTATTAACACGAACAGTGCAAAAAAATTGCATTGTTCATGTGTAAATTATATTATTTATGAATTGCATTGTTCATGTGTAAATTTGCATTGTTCATGTGTAAATTGCATTGTTCATGTGTAAATTATACTATTTATATGAACACTGCAATTTACTTATACTATTCACGTGATTTTTTTTAATATGTTAAATTTTTTAATTTTTTTTTAAATTAGTTTAGAGTGAATTCACTTGTACTATGATGTGAACAATATTTCTTTTTTGAAAAACTAGTATAGAGTAAATTAAATTCATTCGCACTGTAATATTAATTTTATATTTGATAATATTTTATCTACGCTCAAAAAATTATAAAAACTGTAATTTTTGTCGGATGAATTTTGTACGTAATGAAATTATAAATAATTTAATAAAATAATATAAAATATCTTATATAAAATATTTTTTATTTTATAATGTAACAAGAGTAACTAATTATACAATATTTAAATTTAAAACTATCAATATTAGTATATATTTTTTAAAATTATTTTATAATTTTAATTTTAAAAGCATTTTTAACCAAACATATTAAACTATTTTTTTAATTTTAATTTTAATCAAATATTTATTTTTTCAAACTAATTTTAACTAAAAATATTTTTTTAAAAATATTTTTTTCAAATCATCACAACAACAGTTACGGCGATACTAATCACATTCTAAATCTCATCCAGAATAACAACTGCAATGCTAATCACATTCTAAATCTCATCCAGAATACAGTCATTGTATATATTATCAACGAGGGCTTGAGAACATCACAAGCGATTATAGAAAATGACAAGAAGGATTCGGCACAATTGGGCAACACTTTTGGGTCTGGAAAACTGCTCGACCAAGTCGTGGATCAGAACTAAACTTGAAACAATGGATAGTTTTGGGCGAATGAACAAGAAATCGGCTGGTCTTGTAAGCATGTCACCTTTTATTTTACTAATATTATAAATTTCTTCTTATTAATAAAAAAGAAACAAAAACAAAATATGATGGATGCAACCTTGAACCAACGATCCAGTTTAAATTGACCAATGGTTGGCCACCGATTGGTTGAGCCACCGAACAACAGGTCAAATTGACGGGTCGGTGACCCGGGGGCATCACCCGTTCACCTCAATCCAAATTGATTTCAGTTTCTAGACGGCGAAAAAAAAGAAATGACAAGAAGGCAGTTAAAAACGAAACAACCACACGATGTCGGCTAGTAAAATTCCCGCCAAAGCAAAAACCCCAGTTGGCTCTAGCCTCCAGGACCCACCAGCACACTCAACAGCCATGCAATAAAGATCAGCTGCATCTATACGCACCGTCTCTCCGCCTTTCCACCCGCCACTCTTCTTCAGTTAATTACTACTGCTCCTCTTCTTTTCTTCAGTTTATCAATTTCCATTTCGTAACGCTCCTTCTCCTTCCGTCACCCCTACCTTTTTCAGCAGAAGCAGTCCATGGCAGTTTAAAAAGATTCTTCTGAACTCCGTCAAAAGTAGATCCAAATAAACAATACAACAGTTACCACAGTCCTTAATAAATTTTTTTTTGTAATATTGATTTTTTTTTTTGTAATATTGATCTCTAAGTCTTGAAATGTCGAGTCCGTCGGATCGCTTAGCGAGGCCTTGTAAGTTCTCTCTTTCTTTAATTATTGAATTTGATTTGATAATTTCTGTTAATTTTTTTTTGTCATAAATTCTGTACCAATTTTTTTTTTGTAATTTTCTTTGGCGGAACAATCTTTGTTTAGAGATCACAGTTTACTAGATTATCAAAATTGTGAAAATTAAGCAATTTTGGAAGGAAAATAGTGGTTTAAATTGTAATGACTTGTTATAAAACCGTGGAATTAAATTTTTTAATAACTTTTTTTTTTAAATTATTTGATGCTTTTAGGTCCTGAGGGGTTCTCTAGTAATGAAGAGAAAAGAGAGCGGAAATCGGATTTTGAGAACTCAGAGGAAGAAAGGAAGACTAGAATTGGGAGTTTGAAAAGGAAAGCAATGAAGGCGTCTAGTAAATTCAGGCGTTCTCTGACGAAAAGCAAGAAAAAAGGTACTGGTGGCTACAGTGGTGGCGAAGGGGTTTCTGCTGCAATTGAGGATGTTCGAGATGTTAAGGAGCTTCGGGTTGTAGATTCATTTAAACAGTTACTTTTGGCGGACGATTTGCTTCCTGCTAGACATGATGATTATCATATGTTATTGAGGTTCCTTTTCTTCTTTCCTTGCTTGTAGTGCTAATTACGGTCTTGATAAAATATTTTCTTTGCTTTCGTCATTTTTATTTCAACTCATCAAATGTTCTCTTATTGATTGCTTGTTAGCCCGTGTCCTTTGTTTTATTGATTATTTAAATAATCGTTTGCTTCAGTAAATTCGGAATGGGTTTTGTGAGGTTTTTAGCTGTTACATCCTCTTTCAAATATTATTCAGAGGCTGATTATGTAATTTGCCAATTTCTTTGTCAATAAATAAATCAAGATTGGCCTGTAAAAAACTGGGAAAATGATTGGCTGCTTGAAGTCTTCAATGCTATGATGCAAGACGAATGGGAAAATGATTGACTATATGGTGTTCCTGATTTCTTTTTGAAGCTCCCCTTTGACTTCACTTGATTAGATTGTCATCCAATTATTTAGCTCTTTTTTTTAGGTCCTTTTATGAATTTCAATTTCAATTGCAGAAGTGATGAGAGGGTCGCCAAGTAACAGTGATAGCTGCATTGTTCATTTGGTTTTCAAATCAATCAAATATAGGCTGTGGTATGAGCATTTTTACAGTGGTTGTTTCATGTTCAGTTTTCGTCTTTCTAAGTAAACTTTTATGAGGTTCAATGATCGTGCACGCATTGGAAGTGAGAGCTGTTATTAATGTTTCTATTTTCACATATTTCTTGATGCTCAAAATGAGGAATAGTTGGTTCAGCTTAGCAGAACTTTTGTGCAGCTTCAATACTCAAGAATCTCGTTTTTGCAGGTTCTTAAAAGCAAGGAACTTTGATGTTGAGAAAGCCAAACAGATGTGGGCCAACATGCTACAGTGGAGGAAAGACTTCGGTACCGACACAATTTTGGAGGTAACACTAACACAACCCTTCTCCATTTCTGTATCCTTACATCTTCATTTTATGGTGGCTATTCTTTGAGAAATTTTTAGTTAGACTAAGTCTACCACCTCACTCATAGACTGATCCAATAAACACAAGACACTAGGATAAAATACAGCGGTCTCCACTTGTTGATGTATGCATTCCACATGATTTTGTCTATATATCTTGGCCTAGTCTATGAGTGATGAGGTATACCTAGTCTATGAAGTAAATAATTTCTCCTATTCTTAAGTTTAGTGGCATTGTTCAGGATTTCGAGTTCACGGAGTTGAAAGAAGTTCTAAAGTACTACCCTCAGGGTTATCATGGTGTAGATAAGGATGGGAGCCCCGTTTACATCGAAAGACTTGGAAAAGCTGATTCCAGCAAACTTATGGAAGTGACCACTTTAGACAGATATTTGAGATATCACGTGCAGGAGTTTGAAAAGACATTCGCGATTAAGTTTCCAGCTTGCTCCATTGCCGCAAAGAGACACATAGATTCAAGTACAACTATTTTGGATGTGCAAGGACTTGTATGTTTTATTTATTAATATCGGGTTTTTTTAATACCTCTTCGAGGTTGTTACATTCTGCATTCTTTTTTAACAAATTTTTCTCTAGGGTTTTAAAAACTTCACCAAGTCTGCACGAGAACTCATCATTCAGCTCCAGAAGATTGATGGTGACAACTATCCTGAGGCATGTGATTTTGCTCTCAATTTTCATAGAAGTTTTTCTTTAACACTGATTCTTATGCCTGAAAATCATGTTGGGAAGTTATTTGTTACGAGAGCTAAAACAGAAAATTGCACAGACACTTTGCAGAATGTTTGTCATTAATGCTGGTCCTGGTTTTAAGCTGCTCTGGAAAACAGTGAAATCTTTTCTCGATCCCCACACAGTTTCCAAGATTTATGTGAGTAGTGCTTTCCTTAGTTTTGTTGAATTGCCTAACATTTAGTGTTGACAGATGTATATTAGCTGTTTTTGGAACTTTAACTCAGGTTCTTGGTAACAAGTACCAGAGCAAGTTGCTCGAAATAATAGGCTCTAGGTAACAAAATTCTACGATTATGTCCTTTCTAGTTATCTTCCCTTTGAATTATACATGGTCTAAAACTTTTAAAAATATCTTGGAATTTGTTCAGTGAGTTGCCCGAGTTTCTAGGTGGTAGCTGTACTTGTACTGATCAGGGAGGCTGTATGAGATCTGACAAGGGGCCGTGGAAAGATCCAAACATTTTAAAGGTGTGGTCATTACTTTAAATTCTATGTGGTGCCTTTGTATGTTGAAACACCATTATTCAGATTTCTGTTTTTGGTAAAGCGCTTTTCTAATATGTTCATGTTATATGATTAATTGTCCGTCCAGATGGTTCACACTGGTGAAGCACAATATTCCGGACAAATAGCAACTATTTCAAATACTGAGGGCAGGGTAATTGCTTATGACAAGCCATTCTATCCAATAGTAAACTCTCTCGGGAAAGCTTTTGTCTTGTACGATACTCAACAGCATGTTCTCTAAACTTGGTTATTTTTTTGGCTAAACCAGATAAAAACAAGTGATACTTCCACTGCTGAGTCGGGATCTGAAGTGGAAGATGTTGGCTCTCCGAAGCCAACTGGGAGCTATTTACTGCCAAGCCTGGTTCCTGTCTCTGAAGAAGTAAGTTTTTCTGAAAGTTTAGATGTACGAGTCTATGTGAAGTTTAGTTGAAGTTGTTTCAGTTTAGAAGATGGATACATTAAAAGTATCTTCCAACAGAATCCATTCCTTGCATGAAATGCAAGTGTGTCTGTGGGTTTTGAGTGTATATATAATGCTAATATTTTAAATTATACAGGCTAGGGTGGCTGGTAAGACGAGTGCTGCCATTTTCCCTGATAACGATGGATATATACCTATGATTGACAAGACAGTGGATGCTGAATTTCAAGATTCATCTACTTCCACAGGTTAGCAAGATTCAACGCTATCATACGGATAAATTCTTACTGGTAACTGTTAGTGACTAGGGTTGATGTATACAGAACTTGTGTAGATGGATTTTCTTGTAATAGATAGAGATAGGGTATCCTAGGATTGTGGCTGCCTTCTGGTTCTGCTGCCTCCTTGGTGTGGCAGCCCTGAGAAGGGAACTTTGAAATGAAGTTAAATGTAATATTCCTTTTGATTGTAGTCTCACCCTTAGAGTTCCATTTTCCTTGTTTTTCCTTTGGGGAAATTAAAAAAAAAACCAATCATAGTAGGTGGGATGTTATGATACTTGGATATAAAAACTTTACACTTTCAGGACCTTTATATGGAGATCCAGACGTCTCCTATTGTTTTGGGAGAACATTAATTAAGAGGTATCACCATGACTAGTTGGATTTCACGAGGACTTCACTGGTTTAAGTTGGAGTAAATGTTATTTGATATGATATTATATCAGATTCTGAACAAAATTAATGAAATTGGTTGTAGGCACACCTTCTCTGTTAAGTGTAGAGAAGATTTCAGAAGGAATCTCTGCTCGTACCTGGGCTGTGCTTGTGGCCTTCTTCATAACCCTTCTTGCTTTCTTCTATGCATTTTGGAAGGCCAAGAAACACTCTGCATCTGATTCTGCCAGTGACATTACCGACCTGACTTTTGAATTGGCGCCAAAGGAGGAATTCCGACCCCCTTCTCCCATTCCAGGGTTTACAGAGGCAGACCTTCTTTCATCTGTCATGAAAAGGCTGGGTGAACTTGAGCAGAAGGTTGACACATTACAGACAACACCTTTCCAGATGCCTTTTGAAAAGGAGGAGCTACTTAATGGTGCTGTTTATCGTGTGGATGCATTAGAAGCAGAGCTAATTGCAACGAAAAAGGTAGCTGTCTCTCTTGTTTAGATATTTTTCTGGTAGAAATAAGTCTTCACCAACTTAATATGAAGTTATTAGATACATAAATCTCACTGTGTGTAGTTGATGGGATGGGGTGGGGTTATATCTGAATGTTGGGCAAGCTCAATAGGTTTAATGCCAATACCTCATTGTTCTGATGGCTCTTTGCCGCCATGTTTTCTGCACTTAACAAATAACTGTAAGTTTTAGGAATACTTGTTCAATAAAAAATTGATAATGTGAACCTTTGGATGGAAAGAAAATTTGTACCTGTGGTCCATGTGGGCATATTTCTAACCATCATGCTTCTCACTCAAAGGCTTTGCACGAAGCCTTGATCAGGCTAGAAGAACTTCTTGCATATGTAGATGGTTGTGAAAAGGCAAGTTTTCAGGTAAGAGTGTAATCTTTCATCTGCATTTTCAAAGCACAGATCGAAAGCACCTCTTTTTTTCATTCACTGACATCAAGGATTTGGCTGCCTGATGCAGAAAAAGAAGTTTCGCTGGTGAAGAGGTTTCTGCACAGGAGGAATTTATGTTGATACCTTCGTTAATTTCCATAATTAATATTCCACAGATATACAAGGTAATATTCCAATTTGCACTGGATGAGAATTTGGCATCCATAAAAAATAGGGTGGGACTGTTGCTCCTGTTGTGGTTTGCCTTTGTGAGATAAGTTTATTCTTTTCAGGAAGGTCCTTATGCGTGGACTGTGGAGAGATGCAATTTTTGGATGCACGTTGAGTAAATAAGAGGAGAGGCCAATTTTAGCTTAATTGGCGTGTTGCTGTTAAGAGAAGATACCAGAAATAGAAGCGCTTTCCTGGCATTTTGTCTATTCTACGTGAAATTGAAATGCAAGCCTGTGGTGTTTATTACTGAGAATTTGCATCAGGAGGCACAGACCATTACTTGGGCAAGTAGCGTTGTGCCTTGTTTATTATAAAAAAAAATAATTACACCTGAAGTCTTTTCACATATAGTTAGGGAAGTGCAAGGGATGTGAACACTGACCAAGAGGAAGAGAGGGAGAAGGTAGGATCCCTGATAAACAATTTGGCAATGTAATAACAGAAACTATTTCATCTGATCATTCACATTTTCCGTTCACGTTTTCAGTTTAACTGATAATTTATCCATGCAGCAGCAAGCACATGTCGAAACCCATGTGCAATTGCACAGGAGATTTTGGAGAAAGCATGCTGCAATCAAGCAGACAATCACAATCAAAATGAGGAACTTACACGACTAGTTTCAGACGTTAAACCAATGCTTATCAGCTTTCAATTATTCCTGCTAGTTTCAGATGTTTCCTTGTCATGGAGGAACTTGATTAGTCCATGAAGTGCAACTTCTGGATCCTCGCTTTTCATCAGCTCTCCAGCAACTTCTGCAGGTGTAGCCTCTACTTTCTCTATCAGCTCCTTAATTTTTCCGAATAAGGGGTGCTCTTGAAGACGCAAATAATTAAATGCCAGTGTCTTGAAACCATTAAAAGTGCAATATGACATGTGCAAGTGGACATCCATACGCCCTGGTCTTAGTAATGCTGGATCAAGCTGGTCCTTGTGATTTGTTGTGAACACTAATATTCTTTCATCTCCAGAACTTGACCACAAGCCATCAATAAAATTCAGAAGGCCAGACAGGGTTATCTGTGACAAAAACACGACTTTGTTGGTAAGCATTAAACAAACTTAAACGAAAAGTCTCAAGGTCGCTACTCGAGAGACACCCCACTTCTTGTATATATCATATTCGAACTCGGACATCCAAGTGAAAAATGGCATTGAAATTACCTCATCATCTTCCACGGACTCGAAAGACCGATCAATATCCTCTATCACTAAAATTGACCGATTGCCTGTGCCAATCAACAGCCTCCTCAAATCTGAATTGCATTGAACCTCTTTTAAGTCCAAATCATAGACATCAAATCTGAGATAATTAGCCATGGCTGCAACTAAGCTTGACTTCCCTGTTCCAGGAGGTCCATGAAACAAGTACCCGCGTTTCCAAGCCTTGCCTACCCTCCTATAAAACTCCCTACTTTCTACAAACCTATCTAGATCCTCAATCAATTCCCTTTTCATCTCTGGGTCCATTGCTACTGTATCAAACGTAGCAGGATGATCAAACTTGATAGAACCCCAATAATCAGGACCATTATAGTCAACAGTATGCAGTTTCACTGTCTTTTTTTCTTCCTTTATTGCTTTAGCTTTTTGCAAAATATAAGGAAAATATGAACCCAAAACCATATCCCTGTGCTTTTTATGACAAGCTAGCTCGAAATATCGTACCTCAGACCTTGAAAAGGCACTGTCATGGCGTTTCTTGTTAGAAGAAACTAGCCCATTAACACGAGACGCCGCAACCCACTTAAACTTGACTCCCTTAAACACATCAAAAAGTTCCTGATTTTTGTCAACACTAACTTCTAGTTCATCCTCCTTTTCTTGCTGATGTACCTTGATTTTACGCGTCGAAGGCAATAACTTTGAGCCTAAATACACGTTAGCAGCCTTGAACATTTGGTTCGCAACGAGCCCGTCAGATTCTTCAAGGACAATAGTGAGCTGGGATGATAAACGGGATGATATTTTTTGAAGGCTCGAACACAAATATTCGTTGACAGAATCTGGAAAGAGTTCGTTTATGATAGAGCGAAAGAGCATGGCAGAGGCAGTGAGAGAAGCTGCCACCGACAAGATAGTTTCATAGTGAGGAGGTGGTGGCCGTGGCAAGCTCTCCTTCGAGAACCACATAGTTTCTACTTGTTAGTCGAGTGGGATTGTCAAAGCTTGAAGACAATAAAAACTTGTTATTGCTGCAGATTTTTGCTGTCTTGGTGGGAGAAAAAACCCCTGTTAAGAGACAAATAGGAAGAGCTCTCTCCCGAACTTTCTAACAGAGCCATTCTTGTTGAGAAAGAAATTTTTTGAGTATTGTGAAGGGGGAAATAGGAAAACCTCTCCCCAGAACTCTCTCATAGCTTCGGTTTTTAATTCTCAAAAAATGTGACCTCTCTAGACTTTACCTCAGCAGGCATGTTCCTCGCATTTATCTACCTCGGTGCAAATCCAAAAGAGATGAAAATAAATCTCTCCCAAATATAACTAATCCCTAACAACGAGGGATTTAGTTTAAATATGTGCATATTGGCTTCACATGATAATTCATATAAATAAATAAATAAACATTGTACACGAGATCATATGTATGCTGTACATTGTGGGCTAGTATTTCTTGTTGAGAATATAGTGATGGGTCTAGTATTAAGGGTCATGTGATGTGGCCTAAATTGGTAATTGGGCTAAACATGGCCCGTATAGTGTTAAGAAATTAGATTCTTGAGCCCGTTGGCTTCATTAGATCATTAACCACACCACCTAAAATGATTCGATTCGGTGTGAAAAATATTTAATGGTAAAAATTGAGCGAAGAAGAGAAAATTAGGAGCGTCATCAATTATTCAGAGATAGTTGTGTAAACGTGAAGAAATCCAAAGTGCGACCACTTCCGAGTCTTTTTCCTCAAAAATAAGCTTTTAATAACGTTCATAAAGAAACGACACATCACTCGATTGTCTAATATCCTTGTCAATACATCTATTTTCAAATACCAAGTGAATCCCATGTCGGGGAAACAAGCACTTGCCAACCCAATGACACAAGTTGGAGGTCTTTGATTTTATTTTTTAGAGTACAATGTTTTTTTAAAAAATATTTTTAATTCAAAATTATATTAAAATCTTTTATTTTTTTAATTTTTTATATCAATACATAAAAACAACAATTGAGAAATATAATATTTTTACTATATAACTTTATACACAACAATAACAACAAAAAATAAATAGTATGAGTAACCGTATTGTTTTCTGCTGTGCTATTACATCTCATAGATTTTTTTTATTATATTTGTTCATTTAAGCTAAAATGTAAAATTAGAATTCTATTCATTTTATTTCATTAATTTCTTATATTGATAAGAAGTGAGAAGTCAGGTTTCATTCAAAGTAAAAAAAAAAAAACAAAAAACTAAAATGAAATGAGAATATTTACTTCTATAATCTGATCGCTTTAATATCATCGCTTTGTGTTTTTTTTACTTCACAATAACTCAAAATTTAATATCATAAGAAACAATTAATTTCTCTTCTTAAAATTCAACACAATAGGATAAATTCCATCTTGATGATAACGAATAACTACAGCAAATACTTGAATAACAAGGAAGGTTACACAAGGTCCCTCGTCTCTTTAATGTCATGAGGTCCTAGCTTCTACGGACAAGGCAAAGGTAGCTACTGCAGTAAATGTATCATAAATCATTGTCAGAATCTTACACATTCCTGACGAGGCTCAGAGACTAACAGCTGGAAATTAGTTATAATTATTTTTTAATTTTTTAAAAAATATTAAAATAATATTTTTTTATTTTTTAAAAATTATTTTTAACTCAACATATTAAAAAAAAATTAAAAATAATTTTTTTTTTAACATATTAAAAAAAATTAAAAATAAATTTTTTTTAATTTTTAATAAAAAATTATTTTTTTAGAAACACAGGTATAATTACATTTCCAAATGCTCACTAAAAAAATCATCCTATTTATTTTATTTTTATGTTTCAAATATATTTTCAAAAATTTTAATTTTTTTAATTTTTTCTTTTCTTTAAATAAATATGTTTTTGATATTTTTATATTATTGTAATATATTAATATTAAAAATAATTTTTTAAAAATAAAAAATTATTTTAATATATTTAGATAAAAAAACATTTTGAAAAACATAGTTAAAAAACACTCTGATCTAAAGTGCTCGATCTAGAGGTCATTCATTGGTCTCACAGTAAAATTCAGTGGGAATGTGATATTGAATATCCTCATTGACCTGCCTGTTGTAAACATTTTACGATACAAATTCTGTGAACTGAGATCATCCAAACTACCACGTACTGACCGCTTATGGACTTTGGAGGATCAAAAGGATCGGAATTGGTCTCTCTATCTTCATGTTCCAGGGAGAACACAAGGATACAACCTCCATTCATAAAAATTTAAGCAGATAGTTCTGTCATAATTAGTTACATGGCAGATTGGTGAAAGCATGGCAACGGTCATGTTTCCGGGGAACCACATGCATAGATTTTGTTGAACAAATAAAGCAGTGGTTCAGCCACGGTATCAGGTTGATGAACAGCAATAAATGGTTCATATGACATGAAATAAAACACATTAAGCCCTCTAAACGCTTCATACAACAATATTTTTCTTATTTACATAATGGTGCAATAACTGTAAAAATCATCATTAACCACATACCAAACATCGCACCTCTGACATGTCTTTGGAGTACAAGGAATAACCATGCCCTTCATGTCTTTCATCACGTCTTTCTTATATGGGTCATCTTTCTTCTCTTCCTTGGGAGGCCCTATGCTCGTAATTGCTGCAGATTTTCTAAATTTTCTCACCTTGCAAATGATCTTCACTGGATCAGCTTCACCTATTACAGTCACTGTATTCTTTGACGGGTCGAGGACAATAGAAGTTATCCCCTCTATTGTTGCAATTAACTTCATCACCTTCTTCCTGCATTTTGAACAGAGCAGTTCCACTGACACGACTGTTTTCTGCACAGAAAAATAAAGTCAGTTTCCTCCGTACTTTCTCTAACTTATAACAGAGAAAATTTAAGCCGCAGCAGATATGATGAGAAAGTACTGCAGAGTGTCAGTGTGAGCAGAGAATGACTCGGGACAATGCTTAGTAAATACTAGAGTACCAGATAAAACTTTACATGAACTAAAAGCACACAGTGTTTTAAGAGTTCAGGAAGCACAACCTTTGACATGGCTTGGCAGAGTTAAGATAAATTACGCAATGGATACAGATGCTAGGGAGGAATTCAGAGTTGCTATAAATAGATTGTTTGATGTATTTATTTTACCCCGATCTTGTAACAATGATTAGAAGGTTGAAAGTTACATTTATTTCCATGGCGCTGGAAGAAGTTTGGCTGAGGCCTTGATGAAGTAAATGTAAGTAGGTGATAAGTAAATGCCTGTCAGAAGGTACTTCATTGGTTCAACTGTTACCTCCTCCACGCATTTATTGCAGAATTTACAAACCCTTGGACACTTTTCATCTACAACATGCCTTTGCGTTCAGTCCTGAACACGGCACGCATGAAAAATTGAATCTGAGATCGGCAATGCAGTTGATTTTTCCATTTCATGCACCACCGCAATAGATCTTCAGGCAATATATCGCCAGCCATATAAAAGGAAAAACATTCCAATGACAAACACAGATTCAACATATGGAGGTGGGAGTCTTCCAAAATTCCGAGAAAGGGTTTTGCTGGCCGATATGAGCATTATACAAACACTAATGGCACTCCACCTCTCAACCCAAAAGTGGAGAGTGAGCGAGACTTTCAAGTGTAGTGCTAATAGTCCCACATGCTAATAGTCCAAGCTTGGGGACTTTACAGAAAATCCAAAGCTATGGTTTTTTACAGGCAAGAACCTGATATTACATGTTCTCAGTTCAGTAAATTTCTCAGTTCAGCTTTATTGAGAGCCGGGTCAGGTCAGATGAATGGGCACTGCTTGTCCCCACTTCTGCCACACATTTGTCCTTTTTTGTTGCCCTCAAACTTCAAGATGCCGTGATGGTTCCTGATCCATGCACACAGATGCCTTCAACAACTTGGCATCTCATTCTTGAGCACATGGAACGGCCACAGGCTGCAGGCAACATGCATGATTGTTCTGCTTGGCCAAACAAAATACGACGCTCAAGCCTTCCTTGCCGGCTGCAGGCAACACGCATGCTGATTTCCAATGTCATTCTTCTGTGAAAGTTGATATTTACCAAACCAGTTAGATTAAGCTTCCAAATCACACATTTACCAATTGCATCATATCCAAATATTGACATGGAACTGAAATGAGGATATACACGCATAGCAAAGAGGAGATTATGAAAAAACTGATATAAACAGTTTTGAGAAAGTAAACTTAAACCTCAACTCTCAATTCTGAAAAGCAAAGGGTGATGCTTCCTGCTATTTCAGTTGCCATATGCCTCAGTTAATTAATCTAGCTGTATAATTTTATAGCCCATGTGAGCTTGGGGATGGAATGGCAGTACAGCGTTGATGCATCACTTTCTCTGTTGAGCCCACTAACGTGGTATGTCCCTTTCAACCCTCCCCCCGCATTAAACCTCCTCTTAATTAACAACAGAGGATAAAATATTGACTAAATTTCTATATCGGTCGTACGTGAACCGGGGGACATGCACCGTCAAGAAGTTGTATGCAGGCACTGTATATATGCTGGTAACTTGAATCGTATACATACATTCATTTGCAGACTTGAATATTCAAAAAATTTCAATGCACTTCAAACACTTAACGAGGTCAAATTCAACACTCCAACTACATGATAGGAATGAAGATAAACACATAGCCAGTCCATGGTTCCTCGGAACACATTGGAATTAAGAGACAAATGTCTTTATTGATTATTCAATGGGCATTGTATAATAGTCCAAGAGTCTAAAGTTTGCTTTGGCAGAGATTATCAGCACAACACATCGAATAATGGGTCAAAAACAAGCTACTCATACATTAATCGATCACTGTGCTAGCAGTCAAAGCCAAAACGAAGAAGGTTTGATTAATTTTGTCTCCAACTCCACTTCATTTTATGGGGTCATACAAGAGGTATAAGAAGGCATTGAATTTCAGAATGCAGCAGCAGCAGAAACGCCTCAATCCCAAACTAATTGGGGTAGGCTATAGTTTACACTTCACATTCTTCAAGGAAATTCAATCACCTGAAAAGCTAAAGAGGGAAGAGTTCGTAAACCAAAATATTAACAGTTTCGATCTGCACTTTTACAAGTTACAAGGCAAATCATCAACAATCAATGCAAAAGATTGCCTAATCAAAACTTACGATCTTTTAGAATCTTGATGAAACTCAATTTATAGTTTCAATCGCATCCATGGTCCTAGCATTGCCATCTTCATGCTCCATTTCCAACATCTGAGTGAAGCAGTTCAATATCTTCTTGTCCAATTCATAGTAGTCTACCATCTTCTTTAAAGGTTTTAAATCCAAGTCAATGAAATTCACCTAAGCAAATGAAACTTGTATAAGATATAAAACATAGTGAAGGACAGATGCCTTGCTGGATGAACTTAAACAGTGAGCTTTAACAAGTTTTACAACAAGTTAAGATGTAAAGCGATCAATATGGAATCAAGATGCAGCCATAGAAGTGAAAATATTAAACATACCACAAAAATTATAAACGTTCTTGGGTTACAGCACCTTTTAGAGTGGGAATTGCCAAACATGGCAAGTGCTCATTTTGTTTCTGATTTCATAATATTGAGACAGAATGGTGATATTGTAGGCCTCCAAGCAATTTGATATTTACCATGCACATCAAAATATACATGAAATATGTTGAAGGAAGTGTACCTTGTAATTAAAACTTTGGTTGGTTGACTGTAGGTATACATGAGGAGATCCAAACACTCCATCTTTCATTGGTCTAAAACTAATCATCAAACTACAGTCCTTTGCAGTAGCAGCTGTCAAATAATCCTTCGCAATTTTCAAACTATCATCCATATGAATGGAATGCAAGGAGGAACATCTATGTGGTGGTCTTGCTTCATCCAACTGTTGGCATACCGCACAAGGCTGACCAACAATGTTGTAATATGCATGAATGGCTCCTTCAATGTCAAAATTATCAAGCCTTTGAACTTCAAGAAGCCCATCCAATACTCTAGAGCAGTAAACTGCCTCAGCAACAAGCTGTATAAAACTCGTTGTGCGCAAGCCATTTTCAGCCAGGATGATGCCCTCGAGTGCATCTTCAAAAGCTTTTCCAGCCAAAGCATTAGTTCTCTTTATGCCACCGCCCAAGCCCCCAAATATAAGAGAACCATTCAAGAATACACGGAAATTGTTCTGAGGAGTGGTGTACAGATCCTTGATGGCTTTATGTATTCTTTCCTTGGAACCAGAAAACAGATCCAGAGGATCATACTCGCTTAATTCTGATATCTAAACAGCCAAGTTATACAAGTGAGAATGATTTACTGAACAAATAACAATAATTGAAAAAGGAAACATTGGTGCAAAACTTGGCTCAAGAAAAGCAATATGATAAATCGAAGAAAAATTACCTCTTGTTCACGCAACTTCAAGACTTGGTGCATTTGAAAACGAGTAGCACTCCTCTTAACAGAATTTCTTTCAGCTATGAATTCCGATGAAGGGATAAATCCACATTTGGGCTACTTGATGGAAAGAAATAAAAGTTATAAATCCTAGAACGAAAAAATATCACTTACAGAGCAGACGAAAATAAACCAATACCAACAAGAGAAAAAAACACAGAAAACACAAATTACCTTTATCTCAACTGATATGCAAGGTTCATCTTTAAGAACACCTGACATTTAAGAAATTAAAGTAAACATTCATGATTACAGGAACCACATAAAACAGCTCAATCCAGTTTCTAATCATTGATGACAGAAACTTTGGCCCTTGCTGCTACCGATCCAATTGATTTTTCTTCTGATTTCAGGGGATTTTCGGTCACACCAAATCTCCCCGCCACTAACTGTATTCTATCTAAATGCAACAAATAAAACATATCATAGCTAGAAAAGTCACATTGTATATAAAAAAACACTTCGAAATGACTGTGATTACCTCCAGGGAATAGAGAATGATCAGACATGATAATCACAAAATCACGTTCCAAATCAACCACTGAAACATCAATTCGCCAAGCCGGACGTTGTTTAATTACATTCTTTTCAACACATTCAAGAAAATCCCTCGTTACTGGCATGCGCATCTATCATGATTCCAGGAAAAAAAAAACACCAATATTGAAAATCTAAATTACATCATCCATCCATCCATTCGTATTCAATGTGGAAATAAATATCACAGAATCATACCCCAGCATCGACATGTTTGGAACCTAACAAAGGACTCATAACTAGCTGAGTATAAATCTGTTCTGCAATTTCTTTCGTAGGAGAGGTAACTAACTCTTCCACGTCTCTCCATAACAACCGCTCTTCCTCTGTTAATACTGGTTGGTTAGAGTCACACTTCGGTGACGACTCGTTCCTTGCTTTTTTTGTTATCCTCATTACTTTCCCAATCTAACATGCATTAAATCATAATAAACCAAAAAAAAAAAAATTAGGAACAGATTTTGCATTTCAAGTAAATTGAACTTTTAACCAGCATTATTTCGCTAATTATACGAAACTTACAAAAGAGGGCGATGATCCAGTGTAGGCGAGGACTATATTAGCAGCACCTTCACCTCTGTAGGACCAATCTGCCGCGTCCTTTTGCTCTAGTTTGATTTCCATTACTTAATTTGATGTGCTCACTGTGATGAACCTCATTCTACCATCAGATTACCGAGAGGAAAAAAAAAGGAGAAAAGAGCAAAAGATACTTACCAAAAATGGAGAAGAAAATATCTGTTGTTGCTGCGGAGCGTGGATGGTTTCTAAACCCTAAGAGGCTGGTATGCACAGTAAGATAAATTCTGAAGAATCGCGGAGAATGATCCAAATTGAAAGAGGAGGAGAGAAGATTCTTTGCTTTGAGTCTCTCAGCCTCGTGGGTATATGAGAGACAGATAGGAGGATATGGTGGTGGAGAAGGAAAAAAGTGATGCCTTATGGCTTTGAGGTGAAATGCGAGGCGGCCTTTTTCAATTCAATTTTTAGCAGCTAGTTTACTGGCTAAGAGTCGTCCAGAGAGTATCAGATGAGACAAGGCAGTGTTTATTTTTGTGGTTGATTTAAAAAAATACTATATTTATTTTTAAATTATTTTGATACATTAATATAAAAATTAAATTTTAAAAAATAAAAAATTATTATTTTTAAATAAAAAATAACTGTTATTGTAATATAAACCCATCAGCACCGAGAGAGTATTAGGTATTGTTTATTTTTGTGATTGATTTAAAAAATTGTATTTTAAAAAAATTATTTATATTAATTGATATAAAAATTAAATTTTCAAATATAAAAAATATGTTATTTTAATATATTTTAAAAAATAATTATTATTACAATATTAACCCTTAGTGATTAAGCGGGCGGTTTTTTTCTTTTTCTTTTTGTATTGGAATGAGTGGTAATCGAATCCATTAAAAAAAAATATATGATAATTATAAAAAAGAACAAATTTATCCCTTGAATTCCCAATTGAATCCTCACAAGTATCAAATATTCAAGAATTAAAATTCTTCTCTTCATTTTTTTAAATCAAAAGACATATACATTCAATTCCTTCTTCCAGATCTCTCCCCTTCTAAACATCATTCCTCCAATGCTTCTGAATAAATTATTTATTGAAGAGAAAATTTAAGGAGAGGGTTAGTTGGAATTGTTTTTTGATTAGGGACTCGATTGAAAGTTAGGAGATCATCGGGGGTGAATATGTCCTTTGCTTCTTCTTCTTCTTTTTTTATCAAACCCCTTTTACCCTAATTAATAATTCAGTTTGAATGACGAAAAGTGTTGCTGTGGTAGTTGGGGGAGAAAAACGGTCACCACGTAGGACCTGATAGGGGATTAAAGTACCAAGATTCAGGATCCAGAGGCATGTGCTTGCGAAAATTCGCAAGGTTTTTACTTTTGAAGTGGAGACCATCGATCCGGCATCAAAATTCGAAACCCAAAGAAGAATTTTTACACGAGCCCGTGTCGACTGAGGTGGGGATCACCGCACTTGGAAATTGAGATGCACGGTGAACCACGTGTTTTTTAAGTAATGAAGGTAAGATGTATTAAATTAGCTTGGCCTATAACTTTTGTTATAACATCTAATTATATATGAATTAGCTTGGTTTAATTTTTTAACCTGTAACTTTTGTTATAACATCTAATTATATATAAAGAAAAATATAAAAATTAATTTAATATTAATTTAATATTAAAATATAAAAAACATTTTAGCCAATTCAGGTTATATAAGATTGATGTAACCAAAATTACGAGATTGAGATAATCTCGTAAAAAATTAATTAAAAAAATTATAAATTTTGATTTTTAATGAATCTAGTGTTAAAAGATAAAAAAAAAATTAAAAAATAATTAAAGTTAGCTTAAATTAATTTGTCATGATTTTAGTTACGATACTAAAATAATTTTATAGAAATTAAATTTTTTAAAAATAATACAAAGCTTTGTTTTCAGAATATTCAATGTTGGAGTTTGAAATTGATAAAAAAAATCAATGACACAGGGATGATATATAGTTTAAAATAAATTGAAAAAATATAAATGATGCAGGGATAATATATAGTTTAAAATAAATTGAAAAAATATATGATGTCTAGTTTTCAATCTATTAAAATATTAAATAAAAAAACAAAAAAAAAACTACATATGTCAACCCACGGTAAAAACAAAACTAAAAACTTGATTTGAACTAAAAATTTGATTTGTAAGGTTGATATATAGTCCAATAAAAAACAATAATCATGGAGTATAATTCTCCAACACAATCTAATATTAAATTATAAAAATTAAAAAATATATATTAAAAAAATTAAATTGTTAAAGCGGAGGGTTGAATTGAAAAAATAAATTAAAATATTACCTAAAATATTGTTATATTTAGTAGTATTTTATGGGTGTTGCTATCAATTAATGTTTTTTTCGCATGGGAAATAAATTGTTAAAAATAACAGTCAATGTTTATTATCAATTATAATTCACAGATTTGGTTTAATTGCACCAAGCTAATTAAGATTAGAAAGCACTAGATTTTTTTTGTTCTCTGGATGCTGCATGTTGTTGCATGTTAGGTTCTTTTTTTTATAACATAAAAAAATATACTAAAATAATAATAATTTAAATAGATCTAAGTTAATTTAACTAGCATATAACTTATAACAACCCTGATAAAAAAAAAAAATCAAAGCTCAAGATCCAACTATTTTCAAACTATATTTAAAAAACACACAAAAAGATCTGAATTAATTCGGGTTCGCTTCACTGATCCACCATCAACAACATGAGATTGAGATAAGATTTTTTTTATATATATATATAAAAATCTAGAAAAAAATTAAATCTAAATAAACAAATAAAAACATTAAGAAAAAAATTTGGTCATGTTGAGTTCACCTAACACACGTACGACACATGATAATTTTATAAAAAATAAAAAATTTTAAGATATAGTAGCCCAGTATCAAGAGATTAGATTAGATAAATAAATAAAATATTAAAAAAATTTAAAACAATCTATGTTAATTTAATTGACTTGCAATACAGGGGATGGAAAAATATATATAAATATATATGAAGCTCAAGGTTTATTAACCTATTAAACAATGAAGTTAAAAAAAAACATTAAAATTAAATTAAGTTAATTTTAAAAATTAGCAGCTTTAGTTGCGAGATAAAAATGAATATATAAAAGACAAGAAATAAATATTACTTAAAATTTTTAATTATAAAAAAATAAATATTAATCAAAATAATAAAGACTAGTAAGTAACAAGGGATTTAACAATAAAAAATTAAATAACAGAGCAATCACAATATGAGAAGTGAAGTTGGATTAAAAAATAAAATAAAATATTATAGGATAAAATAAAATAAAAAATAACAAAAAAAACAATGATGATTAAAATTAGATAAAAAATAAAATAAAATATCCAGAGACTAATTAAAAAAAAAACAATTTAAGAGAGAGATTAAAAAAAGAGAGCAATTAATAAAACAAAGACTCAATCTGAAAAAAAAATGAAATAAAATCAAAAGAAACAAAACAATTCAAAACAAGGATAAAAAAATAACTGAGAAAATAATACTGTATTTAATATAAAATTAAATAAAATTAAATAAAATTAAAAAATAAAAACAAAGAAAATTTAATTAAAAAACGAAATACCATATTTAAAAAACAAGATAAATAGAAGGAGAAACCTTTTTTTTTTTTTTGTTACCTTGGCACGAGGTAGAAGGAGTGGACATAAAAAAGAGGAGGGAAAAAAATTCAATTACCTGGTGATTTGAGTAACAAGCACTGTCCTACAAGCCTTTTTTTTAAAAAAATTATATAAATATTAGAATTAATTTATACATATCACAGCTAATCCTCTAACCAATAAATATCCTGTAAAACCAGTAAATATATAAAGCCGGTACAGAGAAATTGAACGCATCCCTCCCTCAAGCGCAGCTTATCTTGATTGGATGTTCGTGGATGACCCAACGGCTAGGAAATCTTAGTCGCTGCACGTCATCACATGTGCTGCTGAAGAGATGCAACCGATGTCACGCACCGGTAATTTTTTATTTTTATTTATAGAAAATACAATGGTCCCAGTAATCCATATAGAGTATAACTACGCACCCAGGTTCGTGGCTACAGGGGAATTTCTGCCTCTGCATCCTATGTTTGAATTTTAATGAGAGTGCCTGTTATTCTATTTTACTTATTTACTATATTTATAGAGTGTCTAGTAAGTTCAAGAATTAATCATGCTAAATATAAATTGATCTTAATATTTTAGATTATAAAAAAATATAATAAAAATACTAAAATACCTTTCAACTCATCCTTTAACCTATAAACTACAAAATTATCCCTAATAAATTTAAAAGTGATCTTTGAATCACATGAAGAACATAGGCAAAAACTTTTCGTGGAGAAGGACCAAATGATAATTATACCGTGCAAGCCCACAGTAGATAAATATTACAAAACTGCTGAATTCAACGTATAAAAAATTAGAATTCAAATGCTAATAGTTTTAATAATAGTGTAAATAATAGTTTTAAATTTTATCTCGAACATGGAGGGACTGTATATTCATAACATACGTCTGACATGTTCATCATAAATGTTTAAATCACCCTTTTAAATGAATTCCCGGCTGAACCCTTGATCTAGATATTCAAATATATAACTATCTATTCATCTTTATTTACTTAAAAATTTAAACTGTTTTTTATTAAAAATTATTTATTTTTTGTTTCGAATTATTTTTTAATTTATTAAAATTATTTTAATGTACTTTATTAAAAATAAAAAAATATTTTTTTAAATAAAACATATTTTAAAAATCAACTATTATAATCGCACGGTATAAAACATAAGTTTATGAATTTTGAGACGCATGCCAAGCCGCCGTGTTCTTGGCTTTTTCGTATTTTCACATCTTGTAGAGGTGACTTTTGCAAGGGGAAAAAAATAAAGCAGTAGCTGGTGACCTGCCTTTACTTCTTGGAAAAAGAAAACGAGTGCTGTGTATTGTTTCAGTGGGAGCCAGTGCTAGCTCGGAAAAATGGGACCGCGAGATGTGAACGAGTCATTGGCCAGAGATCAAGTGGCTATCAATTCTATGGATAATCATGATTGCATGACGTAATATGGGACCCGCACAACTTTAACCAGCTGGCACTGACTAAATGCAAATATCAATTTTGCCGGTGTACTCAAGACAGGGTGTCTGGTTTGATAATTAGCTATTGACCATTGATTACAGCACCGACAATAACTTTATTTAGACAGGTATGATTTAAAAATATATTTGATTTGAGAAAATATAAAATTATTTTTTATAGTTTTTTCATATTTTAATATATTTATGTTAAAAATAAAACATAAAAAATCATTTTAATATATATGTATGTATTATTTTATATAATTTATAAAAAAATTACACCTCAACAACAAACACATAATATATACATGGCCTCGTGGTGATTTAATTGAGGTAATTCTATGTAAAATTACACTAATCCAAGACTTTTCAAGGCTAACAACTAGGCTGTTTGATAAATGAACCATGTTACTTGATGTTTCATGAAGCTTTTATACTTATGAATCATTAGTGAATAATATGTATTTTTTAAATCTTTCTGATATGTTCATAATAAAAAAATAAATTTTAAATTTGAAAAATTATATTATTTTGATATATTTTTAAAATAAAAAATATTTTAAAACATAAAAATTACATAAAAAAAATGAAAATTGTATGATGCTGTGTGACCTGGTATAGGAGTCATCATGAGAGATAATAATCTTCAACGAGTGATGATGTTTTGTTAGAGTAAAAACACATAGCCAGATCGTGTTCGATACGATAATCATCGTTTCACGGCTGCACTTGCGACAATGTGATGCATTGACCACATGACCAGTAGCCTTTGGGGGAGGTTGGGTGATGCAGAGGCAGTTTATTTTTGTGCATGTAACTGTGGTTGAATTTGTTTTAAGAATATAATTGATTTGAAAAAATATATATTAAATGGTTTATTTTAGTATTCTTTAATAATTCCAATGTATTAATATTACAAATAAAAACATATTTTAATATATTTTTAACTATTCAAAGCAATTTACATCACAGTTCAATATATTTTTAAGTCTCGGATGCGAGATTTCGTGGACAGAGGAGAAGAAACCTGAGCCTACTTCGAAGCCACTGGAGAGCCTTCGTAAATTGGGTCACATAGAGAATGGTGCCTACTGAGCATTCATGGCCAGCTAGAAAACTTCCCCACCCCCCCTTTTCTTAGTATCTTTATACTTTAACGCTTTTAAAAAAAATTAGCATAATATAAAAAATATTTTAAAAAATAATATAATTTAAAAAATCATAAATAATACTGTGACTCATGAATTGTAAGTATTGTCTATAACTCTTTTTAAAATTAAAATATGTTGGTACAATTTATAATAAAAAAGAAAAGAGAAAAAAAACCCTAAAAAACACATTATATTATAATAATGATTACACTTATACCATTTAAAAAATATCAATAAAATGAATATAAAAGTATAAAGTAAAGTAACGAACAGTAACTATAGTAGCCACACAACAAACTATTCAAATATATTAAAATTTATTTGTCTTTGAATAGTTGATGTGATATGTTTTGATCATTTGGTGATCCTTATTGCTATTATTTAATTTGTTTTATTAAAATTTCTTCAATAACACCTATGTTATTGTTATGAGAGTTTTAACGTGACTTCAATTTTTTTTTATTTTTCTTATCTCTTATCCCTTCATAAATTATAAGGAAGATAGAGAAATAAAATAAAAAAGGTTCTCGACTCACATCGAATTATTTTTATAATTTCTGATATATTTCTACAGTTTTTTTTCCTTCTCTTTTACTATAAATTGTATCGAATTATTTTTATAATTTGAGAGAGCACAGACATCATCTTTGATGCTTTTCTAAATATGTCACGTAGGATGTCACGTAATGTGTTATTATTATTATTTTTTAAGTGCTAAAACCAAAAACACTTCCTTTTTGGTGCCCTAAAATAGGCAACTACCCGGATAAGGGATGTCTGGACAAGACAGATGAATCATCATAGCTTGGGGGAGGCCTTGCCTCTTGTCCCATGCCAGGACATGGTGGCTGGTAGGACCAGTCCTGGACCTACCAATGGCGTGCTCAATTCAGATCCAAATACAGGGGCGTGAAATCTGGCCGTCGACTGCAATTCAATTGTTCGGCCCCACCATAGGCTCCCCCCTCAATTTCTTTTCCAGAAACCTCAAACCACACCACGCCCTATCTGTTCGTCAAGACAATGTCCATCTGTTTTGTGGTGTGTTTGATATCTTGTTTTGAGAATGTTTTTGAAAAAATCTATTTATTTATTATTTTAAATTAACATTTTTTAATATTTTTTTGATTATTTTAATATATATATTTTAAAAAATAATCAATATCATACTTTCACAGTACTTTCACGTATACAATCACTTGCTCACCTGACAGACAACGACGCAAATATATGTTAATGTTTTGTACTTCTATGAACTCTCTCTCTCTCAAAAGCTTTTATTTAAAATGGCGTTTTTTTTGTAACCCTCGAATAATTAAGATAACTCGAGGGGACGGTTAAAAAAAGAACTTCATGGAAGACCAAAACCTAATAAATTCATGCCACAAGTGTCTCAATGGTTTCGATTTTTGGAGCCCATATTCAACGGAAGGTAGCAAACGGCAGTGGGAACTAAATGGCTCAGAATAAACTACGAAAGAAAGCCGTGGTGGGGACTGGGGATTATCGCTAATGGGGGACGACGTCAATCAGAAATCTTTCAATCTCCAAATGATGGCCTGTAGGCCAAAATGCCAGCATCTATTTTCTCAACCGCACACATGGCCCGGACTATCCACTTTCAAATATTCATGCCCGTGCCCGGGGGCAATAATATGGCCATGCTACGATAATTTCATGTCCTCCTTCCAAACTTGAACAAAATGCTTCCTCTCTCATCCTTTATGCTTTCTGGCATTTGTTTCTACACGGTGCTTCTTCTTGGCACCTTGTTTCTTTTGTATCTTGGATTCTTTAAGATGCTAGGTTATCGTAACCGAATTGCAGAGGCTGATATCCCACCGGGTAGTTGTGGATTGCCGTTGATCGGAGAGACCATACAGTTCATGGCAGCCATGAATAATGGCAGAGGTTATTACGACTTCGTCCGAGCTCGCCGTCTAAGGTAATAAATCAGACTTGGTGTTGGGATGTCCATTGTTCAGTACTAGATTAGGAATATGATGAGCATGTTGCCTTTTAATCATGAGAGAATCTAAAATCCCTCAAGCATCAAGAAGTTTGATGATGTAATGGAGAACTGAAAATATATATATACATACATACATGCCAGAGGGATATTAATTTCATTTTGATGACAACAGGTATGGGAAGTGCTTCAAGACCAACATCCTTGGACTGGCACAAGTTTTTGTTTCAAGCACAGAATCGGCTAAGATAATTTTAAAAAATGAATCTGGAAAATTCACGAAGAGATACATAAAATCAATCGCAGAGCTTGTGGGAGATCAAAGCCTGCTATGTGCTTCTCATGGACAACACAAACTCATCCGTAGCTGTTTGACACATTTATTCTCAACAAGTTCCATTTCTGTTTTTATCAGACAGTTCGATGAACTGGTTGTGAAAAGTCTTAGCACCTGGCAAGATAGGGACACAATAGTTGTTCTTGACCATGCAACCGAGGTTTGTTAGCTTCATACAAGGCAGCGTGGTTTAACATGCTTCTTAAAGTATAATTTACTTAAAAAATTTAAATTAATAGTTTTTTAGATTTTTTAATATATTTCAAAATTAAAAAAAATATTTATTTTAAAAAAACCACTATATTACCAAACAATCACCATGCTTCTGACATAAAAAGGTTAACTTTTGAACCGAGCTCATGCTGTCCGAATATTAGCCCAATTCAGTAAATAGGCCCAAATGTGCCTGCATTTGTAGGCCTCTCTAGCGCCCATCCACGTCAACTGGAGCCATGGCACCATAAAACTGGAGGCTAGAGTTGACCCACTTGATATTTCCACAGGCTTTAGTAAAACTTTCTTCGCTCGAATAACGAATCCTTTAAAGGATAACATCACTTTGTCACTCGAGCCTTGTGCGAGGCTAGTCGCATAGGCCCAATTTGGAAGGCGTGATCAGCTAAAAAACCTTGATTTTGATCTTGGTATCGTATTTGGTGCAGATAACCTTCAAAGCCATGTGCAGGATGTTGATGAGCTCAGAGGACGATCCGAAACTAGAAATGCTGCAAGAGGACATAACTCTTGTCTGTGAAGCCATGCTCGCCTTCCCTATAAGGTTTCCTTGGACTAGATTTTACAAAGGCCTTAAGGTAATCTACTATCGAAGCCCATAAAATCATAAATGGGCTTCTCATGTTGTGGGTTTGAACTTTATTACAATCCTTTTGCAGCCCAAATTTGGGTGTCACTCTCTGATGCCACGAAAATTATGAAATCATGATACTAAAAAAATGATGATGATTCAGGCCAGGAAAAGGATTATGAGCACACTGGACTTGATCATGACTGAAAGAAGAAGATGCTCACAAGGCAATCAAAAAGATTTTATGCAATGCCTGTTGGTAGAAGATGAAAAGCCAGGTTCTGATGAGGCCTATAGGATGACAGACACAGAGATAAAAGACAACATTTTGACCATGATTATTGCAGGTTAGAAGACGGCTATTATACCCAGATTTGCTGCTGTACCTTTGCCTTTGAACGTCAAACTGTTTATAATAGTTTGTCTATGTAGGTCAGGATACAACTGCAAGTGCAATCGCATGGATGGTCAAGTATCTTGGAGAAAATCAAGATGTTCTAGACACCCTTAGAGTATGTAGAAAAAGTAGTGTTCCTTTTCACATTCAAGCATCAATGGACATATTTTGGCCATCGTCAAGTAATTTTATGCAACTAGTTAAATGACAATCTGCTTTTTGTTTGGAGCAGGCAGAGCAACTTCACCTTGCAGAAAAAATTTCACCAGGGCCCTTTCTCACACTGGAAGATCTTGCTGAGATGCCATACGCTTCTAAGGTATTCACAAATGAGATCTTCCTCGTTAATTTGATAGAAATTTCTGGGATTAATCTTTAGATAGAAAAAGAATTCCCTTGCTTAAGAGACTCTTGGTCTGATTAGGTGAATTCTGGTATAAAATATAAACGATCACAAACAGGTAGTCAAAGAATCATTAAGGATGGCATCTATAGTACCTTGGTTTCCAAGATCAGCACTTCAAGATTGTGAGATTGAAGGTTTGTCTCCTAACATTTATAATTTAATCTACGTACTTTCCACCGCAACATTGTCTTTGATCATACTATTTGAAATTTAATAGTCCTTCTGTGGTTTTGTTTCCATAGGATTTAAGATAAAGAAAGGGTGGAACATTAATGTTGATGCTAAATCAATACACCTTGACCCTAATCATTACAATTGCCCCAACAATTTCAATCCTTCAAGGTTTAATGTAAGTCCCACCTATTGTCAAATCTGATTTCATTTCTTCTCTTTCATTTTCCCATCTTGCTGTAAATAACTAATGATCGACAAGCTATTTTTGCTTTTCATGTACAGGATGACTCAAAGCCATACAGCTTCTTAGCATTTGGGATGGGAGCAAGAACCTGCCTGGGAATGAACATGGCTAAAGCCATGATGCTAGTCTTCCTTCATCGTCTAATCACAACATACAAGTGAGTTCTCTTCATAATCAATCCATTTTTCACTCCACATTTTTCACATGCAATGGACACACCGCATAACACACACACACACATACATGCATAATCAATATTTTATTGACATGGATATTCGAGTTAATTTATGTATATCTTAACTAATTATATGTAACTTAAAATTAATAATGATGTAAAATTTTATATCAATTGAAGTTGAAATCACATGAATATCACAATTTATAATTATAGCAAGAACCTGCCTGGGAATGAACATGGCTAAAGCCATGATGCTAGTCTTCCTTCATCGTCTAATCACAACATACAAGTGAGTTCTCTTTATAATCAATCCATTTTTCACTCCACATTTTTCAAACGCAATGGACACACCGTGTAATACACACACACACGCACATGCATAATCGATATTTTTTTTTATTGACATGGATATTCAAATTAATTTATTGTGTATTTTAATTAATTGTATGGAACTTGAAATTAACAATGATGTAAAACTCCATATCAATCTAACTTGAGATCACATGAATATCACAATTTATAATTATACATTAGATAGGTTGCTAAACACGATTTTTTTTTTCAGGTGGCTGGTGATAGACTCAGACTCAAGCATTGAGAAATGGGCATTGTTCTCCAGATTAAAAAGTGGTTGTCCGATTCAAGTAACCCGTATTGATAATAGAAAGGATGATACTTCTGCGTATGTCTCTCGTTGAGAACTAAAGCGTGCCACGTTAATTTTAGATAACTTGGGGCATGCCTTGCTAATATAATCAAATCAATCACCACCTGTCACAGCATCCATGTAATTGAATCAAATCATGAGTGTTTGTATCTGCTTAAAAGACTCAATTCAATTCTACTTTATGCAATAGGGTACTCCACCTAATTTTAGGGACAAGCCCTCCAATTTTGACCCCGTGTTGAAATAACTAAATAGGTTTATATATAATTTTTTTAATTATTGTCTCAAATTAAATATCAGTAATTAGTAAATTTAATTTTATAAAAACATAAAATTCAGGTCAATTATTTATTTTTTCATGGCATAAAAGATATTGAAAGAATGTAAAATTGGTAAACTTGAATTAAATTCTTAAATTTATAATTTATAAATTTTTTTATCCGAACTCAATTTAGAAACTTAACAACTAAAAATTAAAATTTTTTATTCGAACTCAGTCTAGAAACTCAACAATTAAAAAATTTAAAACATTTTATCCGAACTCAATCTAGAAACTCAACAATTAAAAAATTTAAGGTTGAAGGAAGGAATTAATTAATTTAATTCAATTTAAAAGCAAAATTCCTTTTAAAAAGTTAAATTTAATAAAGAAAAAACTAAGACCAAGACGACATGTATTATTTTCAAATTGACAAAAAAATCTCAAAGAAAATGAATAAAAAAATTAACATAATGGTAAATGATGGAAATAACTACCTTAGAAAAAGAAAAACAACTATGAAAACCCGTGCCCGTGTTAATTTTGTAAACTAAATTTGTAAACTAGAGTCAATTTTTCAAACATATAAACCGTTAAATTTTAGACTAAAATCAACTAAGAAACAAAACACTTGTCCAATTAAATATTGGATGATGAATTAATAATAATAAAAAATCAACCTAGAAAAACCTTGCAAGGTAAAAAAAAAACAATAATAAGAAAGGATTAAATTTAACATGAAAAAAAAAGAATGATGAAAATGACAAAAAAATAATGATAATCAAAAGAATATAAATCTAATTTGATTAGTAAAAATATCTATTGAGGTTGAAATTAAAAACAAATCTTAATTTAATAAATAATTCATAATAAAAAATTGCAATAAAGAAAATAATAATGAAATTAAAAAATCCTTAATTTCATAAATTATTTAAAATTATAGTTAAGAGAATAAGGATGAAATCTTAAATACAATAAACCTTAAGGGTTCATTTAATTTTTTTCAAGACTAGTATGAAAATCGAGTAAAAGAAAAGTTAAAAAAAAGAGGCCACATGTGTCACTCTAACCATCATTGAGCTAGACGCATCGCTTATTTATGGAGGGGACATCGAGATGCTTGATTATCTTGTACTCGGGATAACCCCATGTAAAGAAAGGTGAAAAAAATAACAATACTGAAGAATTAATAATTTAATAGAAAATAATAAAATCAAATAAAAAATTAATTAAAAAAATAGAGTCAATCCATGTTAACTTAACTAACTTACAACCTAAGATATGAGATGCGGATAACATCACAAAAAAAATAATAATCATAAAGCTCAAGGCCTGATAAGTCAATGTTAAATTATAAAAATAAGAAAAAAAAAACAATTTCTAAAAAGGATTTAGAAAAAAAAAAACCAAACTCAAATTAGGTAAATCATTAAAACTAATGGATCAAGTCATAAGATTTGGAATACCATATAAAAAGCAAGCACAAAAAATTTCAAAATAAAATTCTCAATTATAAAAAATTAAAAAAATATAAATAACAAGGACTAAATCCTGCACCAAAAATAATAGAAAGCAACTAATTAGAGATTAAATTGAAAAAAAAATAAACGAAAGGATAGAAAAAGAGCATTGAAAAAAATAAGGATAAAATTTGAAGAAAAAGATGAATTAAGATTCTAAAGGACAAAATAGAACAAAATAAATAAATGCAAATGATAAAAAATAAAAATTAAAATAATGAGAATCAAATTGAATATAAAAATTAAATCAAATAAAATACAGAGGGATGAAATTAAAAAAATAAAAACTTCAAGAAGCATTAAAATTAAAACAAATAGAAATAAAAAAATAAACACCAAACCCAAAATAAATACAAAATGGAGGACAAAACTGAATTTTTAAAGGCTTGACGAAAATACCAAGGCTCATAAGAGAAAAGATGGATATAATAAAAACAAACTCATTAACGTTGAATTGTCACCTATCTTGTTAAACGCGCTGCCCAAACAACTATGCCACAACTTTGTGAGTTTGATAAGATGACAGTCGGGTTTTTTTTTTTGCCACTCAAAGCATTATCACATGCTTTTGGAATGGTATGGAGGACTCGGACACGTGCGTGACACACATCAATATATTTTATTGTTTTATTAATATTTTAACAAGTCAAATTACAAAAAAAATATCCTTTCATCAACGGGTCATGAGATAATTAATAATAATCAATAAGTCAAATTAATTAATAATAATAGTAATGTGAAAGACTCGAGTAATATTAAGTGGGTATATATCAATGGCGTATTATTATTATAAAAAAATAAACCATGAAACAAAGATAAAAATACCTTTTGAAGTCATTCTAAAATTTTGAAAACCAAAGGTTTCATGTGTAATTTTACCAAGAAAAAAAATATTAAGATAAATAAACCTCTTTTTACAAGGTTATGTTTTTTAGTAGCTAAGGGTATAAGCGTTATTGCACAATATAAATAAAAAAAAGGACAAAAAATCCTTAACAAAAAACCATTTTTTTTATTTCAAGAAAAAAAGAGTATTTTTAATGTGAATTTTCAAAGTTTAACAATAAAGTTTTCTCTAATCAATCTACAAATGATATTTGTATGAACTAGTAAAAGATGATTTTACCCCATGCAAGGTAATTGTTAAGAATAATGAAGGAAAGAATAATTATTACAAATTCACAATGATTTTTTTTACATGTTACAAAAAAATGCAAAAACATTTTAGTTTTTCTTTTTTTATAATGAGAAAAAAAACCACCCCATTTTATTTTGCCCTATGAAATATCTTTGAGGTGTTATATATTTTGTGACTAAAAGATATGCTATCATGGAAATAATAATATATATCACTGAAGAAATCATCAAATCTTTTAAATGGAAGCCATGCTAATTTATAATTATTTTTTTAATCAATATGAGTGTTCGGATTAATTTATACGTAACTCGATTAATTTCACAAACTTTAAAATTAATGATCATGTAAATTTTTAGTAGCTATCATATTAACAAATAAACTTAAAACTACATGAAAGCAAGTTTTTTGATTCCAAGCTCTTACTATTAAATCATTCACTAAATAATTATATTTACAATTATTATTATTATTAATTATAGGGAAAGCATTGCTGGTTTGATTCTACAAATTAATCTCATCACCAACAAGTTCCTGTCCAAATTATCATATGATGCCAGTGTTTCCCCAACCATACCATGACTACAAACGGGATGAAATATGTGAATTATACATGCATATATTCCAATTAAATGGCTGGTGGACCGTCAATTCATGATTTTGTAATAAGTTGCTATGCATGATCTGAAGTGGACAGATAATTCATTTTCTTTTTTCCAGATTCCAATCTCGACTTGCCACTACCACTACAATGTGTCATTGTTATTTGTTAGACATTCACACACGTTTGCATCTCCTTTTAGCATCGCAATGGCCTCTTTTTATCAACTCCACTCAGCTGCCTGATGCCGTCCATTACTTTGTTGTTAAGTAATGCTGCTACTTTGTGATTTTATATATACATATATAGAAAGACATGCCTACAACTGGAAGAACACAAAGGCTAAGCTCTTTTTCTTACGCATACACTCGTGGATACACTACTTTCTTAATTTGAACTCGTGGCATTAATTAATGGACAAATAAAGTTATCTGGAAGATCATTGAGAAACGAGGACAGAGAAGTCAGGTCTGTGTGTGCCAATCCAAGGGTGTCTATCTGATCGAGAGCAAGCAATCATTCTTTTGTAGCTTCTCCTATTTATTTATTTATTTATTTCAGAAGAATAGTGGATTGCAGCCCTACTTTCTGCACTGAATTATGTTATATCCAATATTCTTTTCCTAAAGTAATACCATTTCTTTTTTCTTTTTAATCTATTACGATGTTAAATACTAATTAATTGCTTATGGGGGGCTAAGTTTCAATAATTAATTAATAGCTGCCTGAATTTCCAAATAAATAATAAATATGTTTCTTCAATTCAGGCAACGACACTGATCAGTTGTTCACTTTTCTCCCGCCATCCAATACGACGACGGAACAATAATTATTTAAGCGTAGCCTAACAAGTACAAATATGCTAAAGACAATTGAAAAGCACAAGGCTCGGTGGTTGGGTATCTTAGAAACAATTATGGGGAGAAATTGTTGCTCTTAAATTTGTTTTGTTTAATATCCGTGGCAACTTGAGGCGTCAGCATGGATTAAATTCTCATCCTTAACACTTGTTGTACAGTTGCTGATGTTGACTTAACCACACCACATGTCTTTCCATGTACTTAAGGTCTGCGTTAACTGTTACAAACTTTATACAATCCTTTTCTACTGTCTAATTTTATTTTTTATATGTTTTTTAATATATTTTTAATATTAACATATTAAAACGAGCAAAACAAAACAGTATATGAAAAATTAATTGAAATTAAAAAAATTAAAAAATATAATTAGTTCGAAATGTAGAACAGTGCCTTTGAGATCCTCAACAAACCTGCTAAATAATAATAACGACGGTTCGATTTATAACTCTAAAAATGAAATCGGGGCATCTTGTAATTCTTGATTATGACTGAGTTACATAACAGCTAAATGGTGCTGTCTTTAGGGAAAGGAGTCCTCCAGAAAATCTTTTCCAGCATCGCAAGATGGAATTGGACGTAAAGAGGACAAATTAAGAATTGGGTATGGTTGATTTCATGGCATTAACCATTTTTATTTTGGCCATCAAGAATTAGCA